GCCGAAGCAAGCGATCGCGTTTCTCAACTCGATCCTGCCCGGTGGGACGGACCAGTCCAAGCACGAGGGCATGTCGCTTCTGGCGTGTACGGCGGCTTACTGCCTGATGGAGTTGCTGGAGAGGCACGCGGTCTGTAGGGAGCAGTGCTCCGGTGCGCTGGAACGCTTGGCAGGCGCGCTGAGGATTTGGGTCGGAAGTTCGCAGGGAGAACAGGTCGGTCTAGATGGAAAGATGAGACAAAAGATGACTGGCAGGTGTTCGTCGATTATCAGGTCGGTGATAGGTATGGAGAATGATCCGGGGTATGGGAGCATGAGTGATTGTGAGGAAAAGGAGGAAGGAGGGTGTTAGCTTCAGGTGATGCCCTCCTGTGATTGATTTGTTTTTCCCCCAATGTTTTTGGCTTATATATGTCTGCCTGGGTTTATGGCATGGACTCATTACGACTTGATTTTTTGGCGGCCATTTCATCTTTTTCCCCTCTGCTTTTAGCAAAGTTGAGAACATGCGCGAATCTGATTGATTTCATCTCTTTGTTCATGTCATTAAATTTGCTGTCATCTGGCCCCTTGAACATCGCTACTCCACTTTATCCCTTTTTTTGCCTGTCCATGTCTTTTTATATCTTTTATTTTTCTTTTTTCCCCTTCTGTACCGTCATACTAAACGAATCATGGAGGACCAGGTGGAGGAAAAGCTTTCAAAAGGAAATGTCACCCTTGAGGTAATTTAATGGTGGGCGGCGCGGCAGTAAGATTTTTGACTCTGTCGTCATGGCTCGCAAATGTGTATTCCATCCCAATGTGTGGCGGCAGCCAGTCAGCTCTTTGCACGAATACGAAGTTTTAGAAGCAAGGGGAGCTGTGCTGGCTGTTGTCTGAGCATACGTTGGTATTGATACCCTAAACGCTACGTTTACGTTTTTGTCAAATTGGGTGTTTCTGTTTTTTTCTTCATTATGTTTCCTTTCCTTTTTTTTTTTTTCCTTTCCAAAAAGTTCTGCAAGCGCTGGGAAGAATGGGAAGAATGGGGGAAAGCGCCGGAGTTTTGTGTGTATGTTTTTAGGTACTTATATTGCTATGGTCGGTAGTTTAGGGAATGCAAGGCAAGGGAAGGAAAGAGAAGGTGTCAAGGAGAGGGAAGGGAAAACTTAGGTTGGTAAACGGTGTTGTTTTTAGAATTTTTTTTTTTCTTTTTCTTTTTTTTTTTTTTTTTGACGAAATGATATTGAGAATTGTATTGCACTTGGATGTCGTAGAATGCTCGTGAGTGAGGAACGTGATCTGGGGCGAGATCAGATAGTAGATGAGGCAAAGTATGTAGGTACTCTATGGGTACGTAGATAAACAATTCGATGGGTAAGGTGAAGGAGGCTATCAAAACGAAACAGCGGGAAGGAATGATGCAATTACTGTGTAAGGCCTTTGGAGGGTCCGCCTCTAAGTAGTGTAAGGAAACGAAACAAAACAAAGTTAAACGAAGAAGAAAACGGAACAAAACACCGTGAGGATTATGACTGGCTGGATGAAACGAACGGAAACGGGAGGGACAAGATCGGATGAAACAAATGGAGAAGGGAAACCGGGGATGACGTCGAGAACTCGGTCGTTAACGCGATTCCCTGACTGTTTGACTCGGGGAATCACCCCACGAACCCACGGAACCGGGACGAGTGCCCTGCGGGACGGAAGCCGAAGCGGAACGAAGTGGAAGTGGGACGGAGAAAAAAAAACGGGGCCGGGCCAGTATGGGTTTCATCCGGTGATTGCTCGATGATGCGGGCTTTGGATTCGACGACAGAGGATTTTTTTTCATATCAACTACGATTCAAACGCCTATCTGCCCTATCGAATTTATACCTACGATTGCCATTCACACCTAATATGGAGGCCGTGATTACAAGGCATAAATAGACGCTGTTACGCAAAATCGAAGGGCCAGTCGGGTATTCTTGAGCTGTCCCAAGCTTATGGTAGTGTTCTTTCTAAATCTGTGCCAGACCGTGACTTGTCCACGGTCCAGCCTTACGGTTGGGCCTATCAATTCCTTTAACTTGTTGAAGAAGTATACTTGGATTCGCGGCCTTGCCGTGAGTGAAAGGATTATTTGATGGTCAGTTCCTCCTCTGATGACCTTGTCATGATGACCAATGGCAACTACCTCTAGGTACGGTAGGCCTCATCGTGGGCCTCGTCGTCATCAGTCGCCTCCGCCCTCCGGTGCTCTCTGAACACAGCGAGGGCTGCCTTTCTTAATTTTTTTATTTCTCCTGCCTTCCCTCCACTTCGTTGAACCCCGCGTGTCTGCCTGCCTGCCTGCCGACGTGCACATGATGTTGTCAAGTCGTCATTGGTCGCTTGTTTGAGTGCTCTTTTGCCATTTACGAAGTGGAAGCAATGAACAAAGTGCTGGATTCCTGTTGTTTTCAGTTGACAAAGGGCATACATATCACTGCTCTTGACATAGTAGAAGATCTAACTGAGGAAGTGATTTGAGTACTATGTACCATACCGATAACGCAAGAGTCATCAATGAGGGGTGTTCTTCATTTGAGCAACCTGGCGAGTCTCTGTTCCTGTTACGGTTGCACAAGAGGATGATGATTCTTCGTCATTGCTCTTTGCACATTGGTGGTTTGACCAAGCATCGCCGACGCAGTGACGCTTGTGGAAAAGCTTGGCATGTACCGGAGTCCGGTCCAGTCGTTTGCAACTTGCCTTTTGAACAGCACTCTGCTGTGCATCTCTGTTAGCAGTCCCATAGTTTACAAAGCAAAATAGTAACAGATCCTCACGAGCAGCAACCCCCCTCACCTAATCCACTTGCAATAGGTTCGGGGGAGGGGCGAAAACTCCATAGCATCCCGCTTCCCTCCACCAACAAACAATGGCTATTCGCTATCAACCACGTCGCCGCACTTGATAGGCATCTATGTTTCCTGCGGGCGGCCCGACAATCTGTCCAATCTGTTTGCTTGTTTCCCGCCGCTCAGTCCAACCCACTGCTCGTTTGCAGTTTGCGAGTCACTGAGGTGCTTCCTGCTTTCTTTCGGCAGCAGTCAAAACAGCGATACAGTGACGCAAAACGGTCGACGAGGCTCTGATACAGTCGATACCCCTGTATCTGCAACCTCCCCATTATGCAAAATCACTATGTGATGCAAGGGATTCTCATGCCCAGATTATTTTACTATGGAGATGCCTGCTAATTGCTAATTGCAAGCCGTTCAGCCAGCCAGCCATACAAACTTGCAATTAACAGGGGTCCTGACAAGGGGTTTCCGGCACCCTTGTCGCCCCTTATCAAAGCTATTACCGGCTATCAGAGCCCCTTATCAGCTATCAAAGGCTCTTATCAGCTATGTACTATGCAATAGTATGGAGTGGAGTCTGCCCCCTCATATGCAAAACCGCCTTGTGGTGCAAGCCAAAATGGCTGCCCGGATTACTTGCAGAAACAGGGGTATCGACTGTAGTAAAATGAGGGGCAATTCATTCCATCCTGTCTCTCCAATTTTGGTGGGAGCTCCCGCCCGCCCAGTGAATGGCTTCACCACTTCCACTGCACTCCACACCCCCTCACCGTAAACAGATGTTGTCCTACCACAACTTCCTTGCCAACACGCCGTGCTGTTGATTATTGCCTGCTGTTAATCAGCTCGTTACAGCCCGTACACGCTACACCTGACCCATCTGCTGGCCGCTTTCCACTAACAAAAACTCCCCGCATTCCCACCTGCTAGCTCCAGGTTTTGGTGCTAAGGGTACCTTCTACTCATGTGGAGACCTTGAACCATCGGGCAGCTACAAGCTCAAAGCTTCCATACAGCGGGCGCGTTCCTCCTGCAGCTCAACGGTGCTGTTAAATAGAACACCGCATCCACAACAACCCTCTCGCAAAATTTCCACAAGGCATCCCATTTTCTCTACCTGACACCTACTAAGTAGTCTGTCTGCCTACAATCGTCAGCCTTATCGTCTTTTTGCTCGCGGATCCGCGTAGCACATCTTTTCTTTTTGCTTTTTGGTTATCCATAACCTTGGCAACACCTTCTTCTTGGCTCTCTCTCTTTTCGGTTTTGCTCTAGAGACCTACTACCGATCATCATTTTCTGATATCGACAATCACAACATCATCATCATCTCCTACCAGTAATCCCGCATTGGAGGAGTAGTCGTTTCGCTCGATTACTCTTTTTTTGCGTCCGGAGTGCGACAAAGTAGCGGCTTATTAACAAAAAAGTCCAAGTTTGAAAACCATCGATTGATCCGTGGTATTTCTCTCTTGGCAAACCCCCATCCACGACAAACAAACAACCTACCTTACCTATCCTCTTGCCTACCTACCTACCTACCTCTCTGCTCAACCAACCATCTCATCAACCGAACCGAACCGAATCGAACCGAACAATAGCCAACCAGCCGAATAAGCTCTCGTGCTTTGTTGCTCTACTCGACAATCTGTTACCACCAAGACTACAAGTTTAACAGTCATGTCTGACAATCGTGGCGGTCGTGGAGGTCGTGGCGGCGGTGGTCGCGGCGGCGGCGGCGGTGACCGTGGAGGCCGTGGCGGTGGTTACCAAGGCGGCGGCGGTGACCGTGGAGGCCGTGGAGGTGGTTATCAAGGCGGCGGTGATCGTGGAGGCCGTGGAGGCGGTTACCAAGGCGGTGGTGACCGTGGAGGCCGTGGAGGCGGTTACCAAGGCGGTGGCGGCGGTGACCGTGGAGGCCGTGGCGGCGGTTTCCAAGGCGGCGGTGGAAGGGGTGGCCGTGGCGGCGGCCGTGGTGGCTTTGGCGGAGGACAGGGCGCGGGAGGATACGAACCCCCTCCACCGGATGTCTACACGTAGGTGCCTCTCCATTTTTGTACCATTCAACATGATGCTGACATGACTTCAGGGGAATTGACGGTCGCGGTGCCCCCGAGCCTGACGCCCAGATCACCAAACTCGAGGATGATTGGATCAAGAAGCATGTCAGCGACAATCTGGTCACTTCAATGAGCAAGCTTTCGCTCAGCGAGAAGGAGAAAGCCAACAACTTGCCGGTTCGCCCTGGCCATGGTACCATGGGCGAGAAGGTGAAGCTTTGGGCCAACTATTTCAAAATCAACATCAAATCACCAGCCATTTACAGGTACACCATCAAAGTTGCCGCCACCGAGGAAAAGCTCGGAAAGGAAGCTGAGGTCGCATCCAAGAAAGTGGAGGTGGTGGTCGGGAAACTGCTCAAGCAGATCGAAGCCAAGGTGAAATCCGTGGCGATTGCCAGCGATTTCAAAGTGCACCTGGTGACGACCACCAAGCTCAAAGTTCCCGAGAACCGCATCTTTGAGGTGACGTGGACCGAGCCGAGTTCCAACCAAAACCTGCCCAGCAAGCCCCAGACTTGGGTGGTCAAGGTGGAGGAGAGTGTCGAAAACTGCGATTTCGGCAAGGTGCTGAACGAGCTCACGACACTTGATCCCAAGCTCGACGGAGACTTTCCCAAGTACAATGTTGAGCTCGATGCCCTCAACACCATCGTGACTCATCATGCCCGCGCCGACGACAATGTTGCGGTGGTGGGAAGGGGAAGGTTTTTTGCCATTGGCGATGACCTCATTGAACAAGTGCGGCCCCAAGACTCCCCTTTGGTCATCTTGCGAGGATATTTTGCCAGCGTCCGTCCAGCTACCGGAAGACTTTTACTCAATACCAACATCACGCATGGTGTCTTCCGTCCTGGTATCAAACTTGCACAGCTGTTTCAGGAACTTGGACTTGACGTAATGGACAAATGCAATGCCTGGAACGAAGTAACCAAAAATCAGCTCAACGACAAGATGCGCAGAGTTCACAAGGTCCTGGCGAAGGGCCGTGTCGAGTTGAATGCCCCATTCCTTGTTGATGGAAAGATTGTTTATAAAAAAGGTTACCGCACGCTCAATGGCATTGCTAACCGTGGCGACGAAAGGGGGAAGCAAAAGGATGGCAAAGAAGTCCGACATCCGCCATTGTTCGGGATTCCGGGTGTCCAGGTTGGCGGCCCGACCTCTGTTCAGTTCTACTTGCGTGCGCGAGAGACAAAGGATGGCGCTGCCCCTCCTCCGACTCCCGGCCTGCCGAGCAACGCGTACATCACGGTAGCGAACTACTATAAACAACGGTACGGAATAACCGCCAATGCTTCGCTTCCTCTGGTCAACGTTGGCAGCAAGGAAAAGGCGATTTACGTCTTGGCCGAGTTCTGTACGCTGGTCAAAGGCCGTTCCGTCAAGGCTAAGTTGAATGCCAACGAGGCGGACAACATGATCAGGTTTGCTTGCAGAGCTCCTTCGCTGAACGCTCAGTCTATCGTGACGAAAGGTAGACAGACACTTGGTCTTGATAAAAGCCTGACGCTTGGCAAGTTCAAGGTTTCGATCGACAAGGAACTGATTACCGTTATCGGGCGTGAGCTCAAGCCTCCGATGCTTACGTACAGCGGTAACAAGACGGTAGAGCCGCAGGACGGCGGGTGGTTGATGAAGTTTGTCAAGGTGGCCAGACCTGGACGCAAGATTGAGAAGTGGACATACTTGGAATTGAAGGGTTTCAGGGACAACGTAGGGGTGCCGCAAGCTATGAGCGCTTTTGCCGAATTCCTGAACAGAACGGGCATCCCGATCAACCAAAGGTTCTCGCCGGGCATGAGCATTCCAGTTCCGGGGAGCGAAAAAGAGTTTTTTGCCAAAGTGAAGGAACTCATGAGCGCGCACCAATTTGTGGTGGTTCTTTTACCCAGAAAGGATGTTGCGATCTACAATATGGTAAAGCGGGCTGCCGATATCACATTTGGCGTTCATACAGTCTGCTGTGTAGCCGAAAAGTTTCTTAGCACTAGAGGGCAGCTGGGGTATTTTGCCAACGTCGGCCTCAAGGTCAACCTCAAGTTTGGCGGCACGAATCACAATATCAAGACGCCCATTCCTCTACTCGCCAAGGGGAAGACGATGGTGGTGGGCTATGATGTTACCCACCCGACCAATCTAGCGGCTGGACAATCGCCTGCATCGGCTCCCAGTATTGTTGGCCTGGTCTCAACCATCGACCAACACCTTGGACAATGGCCTGCAATGGTTTGGAATAACCCGCACGGCCAGGAGTCCATGACGGCACAGTTTACGGACAAGTTCAAGACGCGTCTGGAACTATGGCGCAACAATCCCGCAAACAACCGCAGTCTCCCCGAGAACATCCTGATTTTCCGCGATGGCGTCTCCGAGGGACAGTTCCAGATGGTCATTAAGGACGAGTTACCTCTGGTTCGCGCCGCCTGCAAGCTGGTGTATCCAGCTGGCAAGCTACCGCGTATTACGCTGATTGTCTCTGTCAAGCGCCACCAGACGCGCTTCTTCCCAACGGACCCGAAGCATATTCACTTCAAGTCCAAGAGCCCCAAGGAGGGTACTGTGGTTGACCGCGGCGTGACCAACGTCCGCTACTGGGACTTCTTTTTGCAGGCGCACGCGTCGCTCCAGGGCACGGCGCGCTCGGCTCACTACACGGTTCTGGTGGATGAGATCTTCAGGGCCGACTATGGAAACAAGGCGGCCGACACGCTGGAGCAGCTGACGCATGACATGTGCTATCTCTTTGGACGAGCCACCAAGGCGGTCAGTATCTGCCCGCCTGCGTACTATGCCGACTTGGTGTGCGACCGGGCGCGTATCCATCAGAAGGAGCTCTTTGACGCCCTCGATGAAAACGATAGCGTCAAGACCGATGATTTCGCAAGATGGGGTAACTCCGGGGCTGTTCATCCCAACCTTAGGAACTCCATGTACTATATCTAGGCTTGTCAATGTGTGTTGGCAGTTGGGATAGAAATGGACTATAGAAGTCAAAGGTGCTGCTGTGTCGTATCTGGATATGGATCAAACCCAGCGTTTACTTTTTGAGGGCTTCTGGTTTCTATAGCGATTTCTCTTGATTCTTCTGTTTCTTGGCTCTCTCTCGTGTGTTTTTTTTTTTTTCTTTTTTTTTTTTTTTGTCTCTGTCTGTCTCTGCACTGCATGCAAACGTGCACTCTGGATGATGAACGACACCATTTGACGACTGAATATGAGATGGCAGACCGCAGATACTATCGTGCGCAATGGAAACCACGAACAACAAAGGTTTTGATTACTTGTATAGCGAAATATAGAAAAAGAAACCAAAAAAACAACAACAAATAATGAAAGTATAATTGGATACATTTGACTGCGATGACTGACTGGTGTTGTGAATGGTGTTTTTTTTTTTTTTTTTTTTTTTCTTTTGTCAATTTTTCATTTTGAATTAAGAGTTGACTGTCACTGACCTGGTTATATTTACATTATATAATGGATGACTAGAGATTCCAGATGGATGAATGAATGAATGAATGAATGCGAGGCCACTTGCACGAACGTTTCTGAATTACAACATGAACCTAGAAAGAACAAGACGACGACGACGAAGGATTATTAAAGCCTGCGTTATGTGTTTATGCTGGATGGGATGGAACTGACCTGGAAAGAATTGAAGACGTATTCCAAGTAAAAGAGGGCCCATTCATCCGTCTCTTGTCGAGTAAGGTAATTTGTATGTACAAAGGACGCGGGCAATGACGAAGGCAAGGCATACATTCACGTAGAATGTAGACTAGATTGATGCACGCCTCATTCATTCTTTATCTCTTTTCTTTTCCTTTTTCCTTGAAAATTTTTTCTTCTTGAGCAATTGAAAATGTGAATTGAGATGCAACTTGATGGATTGTGATGTGATGTGATAACATATATATATATATATAAATATATATATATCGTTGTATTTCTTGCACACATACTTTCGAGCGGTAGTGTAGTATAGCTGGATAGTAAGGTATCTATTTCTGAGGTACAAACAAAAAGGAAAACCATAAACCTCCGAAAAAGTTTTCCAGCTGTTGCAATGATGACGATGATGACCTACCTACTACCTAAGGTATCCCCTCCTATTCCCTCCTATCCCCTCCTATCCTTATCCTATCCTATCCTAACCCGAGCCTAAGCTCCCAAGTCCAAGCACCCAAGCCCAAACTCCTAAACTCCTTTCTAGATGTCTAAACCCCAGAAACTACTAACAAACGACCCGAACCCGAAACCCTAAAAAAAGTATATATAAACAAAGGAAAAAATCATCTGTCATAAATGAACAAAACAAACAGAAACGGAAACAAAACAACCAACCAGCCGCTGAAGATATTCATTCATTCATTCATTCTCTCACTCACTCACTCACTCACTTACTCACTCACTCAGCAGCAAAATACCGTTTTGTCCTGCTATTCGTTTGTTGCGCCTTGATTTCGGGCGGGACGATGGTGTGGTGTACGACGTGGGGGCGGTAGACTGCGTCTACTGGTGGCATCCTTTACGATTTTTTGGACTGTTAGTATGTGTGTGTTGGACTGGATATAATTGAGGTACTGATGGATAGGGGGGCGGGAACATCTGGGAGAGGAAAGAGGAAGGGGAACACATGGGAGAGGAGAGAGGGTGGGGAGGAGTAAGTGGATGTATCGGTAATGGGGAAGGGTAGAAAAGAGAAGAGAAGAGAACGAGGTCAAACGAGGATGGGTATTGAGAGAATGGAGAGAAGGAAAGAAAAAGGGAAAGGGAAAGGAAAAGGGAAAAGAGAAAAGAGAAAGAGAGAAATGGAAAAAGAGAAAGAAAGAACTAACCAATCATCCAAACTCAACGGGAAGTACTCATACAAAAGGTCCGCTGCCTCAATCGGACTTCCCACATTCTCTTTTTGGTACTGATTCTGCCCCCCAAGACTTTCAAAGTGGCTTTCACCCTTGTTGTTGGAGGAGTGAGTAGTAAGTCGTCCCGATCCGGAGCCAAAACCCATCCCTTTCCCAGCTGTATCCCTCTTCATGCCACCAGTAGCAACACCCATCTTGCCATAGAGCGGACTATCCCCTGCCCCTGCCCCTGCCCCTGCCGAGCCAGGAGTAGTAATCCTATTCATAGGCGGACTCCTCTGCTCGTCTTCCGACAGGGACAAACTAATTGGCAGGGCACCTGCAGAGGAGGAGGCATTTCTGTGATGACTGGTTCTGTTTGGGGCAGCTAAGGGCGTGGGGTTCCTTCGTGAGCCGCTGTTGTGATTGTTGGCGACGTCCGTGGATAAGGATCCCCATGATGGTATTGGTGGTCGAGAAGAAGATCCCGGAGAGTTAGAGGACATGGCGAGTTTCTTGTTGGGGTGTTGTTGTTGATGGAGGTTGGGTGAGGTGCTGAAGGGTTGGGGGGTGGGCCCGCCGGTTGAGGATGACCAGTCTGATGGCTTTTTTTTGGAGAGAGAGAGTAGTTATTAGCTTGTGATAGCAAGAATGGGGGGGAAAAAAGGGGGGGGGGGGGGGG